ATTTCTTTCTTGTTTTATGTCTAGGCATTTACATTAGCTATCTACTTACATGGCATCTTTACTCCTTTTCAGGAACGTGAGAAGAAGGCGAAGAAGAAAACTGGAGCATCTGTTCCTGCTGAGGGATCTACTGAGGAACCAACTGAAACATCTGCAGAGGTTGCTGAGGAAGAGAAGATTGAGGAAAAGGTTGAAACATCAGTTGCGCCTAAGGTTAAGGCGCCGAAAGAGAATACTATCAGGAATCGACCAAAACGTGCTAAGGGCATGGAAATTCCTAAAACTATACTGAAGCGGAAAAATGCAATGAACTATCGGCTATGGGCTGCTCCTGCTGCTCTCGTAGTTCCACTACTACTAGTAGCATACAAGTATCTTATCTAGATTATTATGAAAGCCAAAAGTAGAAGGGGAGTAAAAGAGGTGGAAAACTTTGTATTGCTTGCAAATTTTGTATTAGCTAGTTCTGTTTTTTGTAATCTTAAGTCATGCCTATTTTTTGCATCCTTGACTAAGGATGGAAAAGTCATAATGTTGCGGTAGATAAGGCCTTCTCAGATACTTACAGAAAAGAGCATTTTATGCATGTTTGATTTTGGTTGGTGTAGTTTCAAGTTTTGACATTTGCTTAAAGATTTTAATCTTGGCATTTAATTGTAAACATCTGAGTTCTATATGATCTTCCTATTTGCTGTTTCATAGAAACATAGCCTTTACTCACTTAGGAGTGCATATTTTATTTTTGTTCGAGTTTGTCTTTCTGTTGGTGTGCTCTCCCCTTCTCATGTGCTCCCAGAACTCTGCAAATGCTCGCTTTCGCAAATATTCTGTCAGCTTAATTTGTATGTTTTCTTAATATTATTTTCTTTTTTAAAACCTTGGTGTCCAAGCCAACTTGTGTGTACTAATTTCACGAGATACCTACCACCTCCCACCACCAACAGGTACTAGGTAACCTTATCCACCAAGACTTGGATAAATGAGAAGAAATCACCTAATATTTTTTGCCTCCGGATTTAAACTTAGAACTCAAAAGATTGTAAGTAGTATGTTCTCTTATTTTCCTTCTTTTTCTTTTTCCTTTAGAGATTGATAAGCTTGAATTCCAACTATACCTGTTAATCCGGCCGGGCTGACCCGTTTACAACCCGGTTCAGCTCGGGTCAGCCCGGTACTGTAGCGTGGGGGCGGGTTGGGACGGGTTGGGCGGGGAGCGGGTTTCAAACGAACAGTTTTTT